AAAGCGTGAGATGAGACAATAAGTGATGGAAAGCGAAAGAGAAAGAGCAAGCGCCTCCTGGGCTCCTGGCTGGCGGTGCGAACTGATGAGTAGGGATGGCAACGAGGCGGGTCGGGTACGGGTTTCATGATACCCGTCCCCGTCCCCGCGAGTTAAACTCATCCCCGTCCCCGTACCCGTCAGGTATGTAATTTTCATCTCCATCCCCGTCCCCGTCGAGTATCGGGTATACTCGTACCCGTCAATTTTTTTATTTTTTATTTTTTAATAAAAAAATATGATATTTTTAAATTATTTTTTTATTATATTATATTTATAATTAAGTTATTTCTTTATCTCATTTTATAATAAATAATCATACATAAAAAAATATTAAAATTTCTTAATATAATTAAATTAAAAGTGGGTATTAAATTAAAAATGTAAACGGGTACGGGTACGGGGCGGGTAAGTACATACCCGTACCCGTACCCGATTTAAAGTATCGAGTTTTATCCGTACTCGTACCCGGTCAAACCGAGTATTCCCCGTCAAAGTCGGGACGGGTTCGGATATTATCCGTGGGTACGAGTATATTTGTCATCCCTATTGATGAGGGTGGGTGTGTGAGAATGAGAACTGATTAGGGCGGAAAAGAAACTTAAGAAACCTTAACTTTATTTGGCCCAATAGCATAAGTTTTTTTATTTTTATTTATATGGGTTGGTGGGTCAGCCCGGCTTACCACGGGTTTAATCCGGGTGAGCCAGGTTGTTAGTGGGCCGGGTTTAAAATTGGCCCACACTGAAATTTTTAATTTTTTTTTAGCTCAACCCAGCTCGAACTTGTGGTGGGCTGGATTGGCTCACCGGGATGAGCCCATTTTGACAGCTCTACTTAAAAGAGCCTTTCACACACCTTTCATTCACGTGGGTCTCAATATCAGAAACCGTCAATGCATTTTTCTTCATTCCCTTTTTGTGGGGTTTTCTGTGTCCGTTTTTTACTTTGGAGGCTCACAACCATCACGTTCCTGGGAGTGTATATGTATGTGTTTGTTTTCAGTGTGGCTGATACGCAACGCTGTGATAGAAAGATGGATGGCAATGGTAATGGTAATGCTAAGAGACTGAAGGTCATGCATGGGAAGCCACGTGTCCCTCACAACTATCCCAGATATGCCAACTTCCCACTTTCGCCCTATCGTCTCTTTATGTAATACTTTCTCTCTTTTTGATTTTTACGCAAAAAAAAAAAAAAAAAAACTAGATGCAGTCTTTTAAGTGTTTTTTCTGTGATGCTCTTGCTTCACCAGTGGAGTTTTATTTCGATTTAATTAAAGATCGATGGATCTTGATTCTTAATGAAAGAAAACTCTAATTTTCATAGAAGAATTGCCTTCTTTTTTTCTTTTTGTGTGTATTATCGATGTATCTTGATTTTTAATGAAAGAAAACTCTAATTTTAATAGAAGAATTGCCTTCTTTTTTTTTGTGTGTATTATCGATGGATCTTGATTCTTAATGAAAGAAAACTCTAATTTTCATACAAGAATTGCCTTCTTTTTTTGTGTGTGTATTATCGATGGATCTTGATTCTTAATGAAAGAAAACTTTAATTTTCATACAAGAATTAACTTCTTTTTTTGTGTGTATTATCGATGGATCTTGATTCTTAATGAAAGAAAACTCTAATTTTCATGGAAGAATTGTCTTCTTTTTTTTGTGTGTGTATTATGATCAATTTGTTACAGTTTTTTGTTTTAATACATATATATATATATATATATATTATGATCAATTTGTTACAGTTTTTTCTTTTAATATATATATATATATATATAAAGAATTGACTTCGTTTTTTTTAGTCTTTCATGCATTTGTTTTGGTTTTTCTCTCCTAAACAAGTTATTTTAAATAGTTTTTCACCAAACAAGTTGTGTTTGTAAACAAGCATTAATTAGATTTGTTTTGAAATAATCATTAAATTATTATTTGATACAAGAATTACATTTTTTTTAATTTATAGCAAACTAGCCTTTAGTCTATTTTAACACCCATGTTGTTTGGTTGATGAAGTATTAATGAAGTTTCAATTTTTATTTTTGTTACAACGTATGGGTGATATGACATTTATATATGTTGCGTATTTTAATTACCATGGTATTTGTAAAATATAATTCCTGTTTAGACTTATTCTATTGTAAAATATAATTCCTGTTTCTATAGAAGGTCGCATGTTATTTGTTTGTGCTCTTTAATGCATGAAATCAGTGTTTTTATGTTGCACAACTTCTTTGATAACATGCATACTAACCTCTGATCTCATCCTTATGCCTTTTATGTTGGGAGATCTGATAAAATTATTTTATTGTGGTTATGGCTTGTGTGCTATTATGTTTTCCTTTTAAAAAAGTTGTGGTCTTTTAAAAATGTCATTTCGTATCTTTTATGTTTTCAATTGAACAAAAATTTTAATGTGTTTGGACTTTGGTTTATGGTAGAGGTCATGTTTATTGATTAGGTTTCTTTTTCAGGAAAAGCTTCATGAGAGGTTGTGACTCGAAGAATTATATGGAAACTGATAGAGCAAGATTTGAAAAATGGATAAGCATGACTAATGAAGTAAAAATAATTGTCTTATTTTTATTTGTTCAATGTAAAATTTGTATTATTTTAAAGTGTGAATTTTCTATTTCTTCGGTAGAAGCAACCATATATTTTTCATGCCAAAATTTTAGATCATAACTACCAACAAGCCTTGGATATGGAGGAAAATCAAATTATAAAGGTAAATAAACAATGATAACAATAATTTTTTATTTATTGGGTATATGTCGGCATTAAAACTTGTTCCCAAAATTTATTCTAAATTGTTAATATATATAGGTCTTAAAATTGTTATTTATGATCTCTTGAGACACACTTATACAGTTATAGTTGTGCATTTTTAACACTATATATAACAATTATTGAATAGAAAATGAACTAAATAGTTGTTTTTGTTATTTCATTCGAATAGGAACTCGGGTAGTATTCAACTTCTTATTTTCTCCTTCACTTTTGCTTATTATGAGCTTAAAGCTAAAATTCTCATTTTTTCTGTTTTGCACAATATAACATCAACATTACTTTATCGTTTAAGTTGTTTTGAAAATAAGTAAAGGTGTTGGAAGGTGTGGAAATGGGATCTGGTTTGTGAACTTTTTACTTTCAAACATCGTCATATATTGTGACCCTCACCCAGTTGCATGTTAAATGTTAATCAAATAAAATTGAGATGCTGTTCATCCTTTCAAATATGATTTTCCTACTATATATGTGACAAAGTGATTGGTTTAGGTACAAGATGAGGTTGAATCACCAATGGTTAGGAAGATTGATAAGGTATGCTGATAAACTGAAATATCTATTGAGACTTATATTCAAAACAACTTAAACGATAAAGTAATGTTGATGTTATATTGTGCAAAACAGAAAAAATGAGAATTTTAGCTTTAAGCTCATAATATATGACGATGTTTGAAAGTAAAAAGTTCACAAACCAGATCCCATTTCTACACCTTCCAACACCTTTACTTATATTCAAAACAACTTAAACGATAAAGTAATGTTGATGTTATATTGTGCAAAATAGAAAAAATGAGAATTTTAGCTTTAAGCTCATAATAAGCAAAAGTGAAGGAGAAAATAAGAAGTTGAATACTACTCGAGTTCCTATTCGAATGAAATAACAAAAACAACTATTTAGTTCATTGTCTATTCAATAATTGTTATATATAGTGTTAAAAATGCACAACTATAACTGTATAAGTGTGTCTCAAGAGATCATAAATAACAATTTTAAGACCTATATATATTAACAATTTAGAATAAATTTTGGGAACAAGTTTTAATGCCGACATATACCCAATAAATAAAAAATTATTGTTATCATTGTTTATTTACCTTTATAATTTGATTTTCCTCCATATCCAAGGCTTGTTGGTAGTTATGATCTAAAATTTTGGCATGAAAAATATATGGTTGCTTCTACCGAAGAAATAGAAAATTCACACTTTAAAATAATACAAATTTTACATTGAACAAATAAAAATAAGACAATTATTTTTACTTCATTAGTCATGCTTATCCATTTTTCAAATCTTGCTCTATCAGTTTCCATATAATTCTTCGAGTCACAACCTCTCATGAAGCTTTTCCTGAAAAAGAAACCTAATCAATAAACATGACCTCTACCATAAACCAAAGTCCAAACACATTAAAATTTTTGTTCAATTGAAAACATAAAAGATACGAAATGACATTTTTAAAAGACCACAACTTTTTTAAAAGGAAAACATAATAGCACACAAGCCATAACCACAATAGAATAATTTTATCAGATCTCCCAACATAAAAGACATAAGGATGAGATGAGAGGTTAGTATGCATGTTATCAAAGAAGTTGTGCAACATAAAAACACTGATTTCATGCATTAAAGAGCACAAACAAATAACATGCGACCTTCTATAGAAACAGGAATTATATTTTACAATAGAATAAGTCTAAACAAGAATTATATTTTACAAATACCATGGTAATTAAAATACGCAACATATATAAATGCCATATCACCCATACGTTGTAACAAAAATAAAAATTGAAACTTCATTAATACTTCATCAACCAAACAACATGGGCGTTAAAATAGACTAAAGGCTAGTTTGCTATAAATTAAAAAAAAAAATGTAATTCTTGTATCAAATAATAATTTAATGATTATTTCAAAACAAATCTAATTAATGCTTGTTTACAAACACAACTTGTTTGGTGAAAAACTATTTAAAATAACTTGTTTAGGAGAGAAAAACCAAAACAAATGCATGAAAGACTAAAAAAAACGAAGTCAATTCTTTATATATATATATATATATATTAAAAGAAAAAACTGTAACAAATTGATCATAATACACACAAAAATAAAGAAGGCAATTCTTCTATGAAAATTAGAATTTTCTTTCATTAAGAATCAAGATCCATCGATCTTTAATTAAATCGAAATAAAACTCCACTGGTGAAGCAAGAGCATCACATGGAAAATTAGAGTTTTCTTCCTGTAGCATGTGTATCTCTAATTCTACCTCCTGCACCAGTCTCTGCACCAGGATAAGGTGCCACTGCACATGGAAAATTATGTGTTTCAGCAGTAAACAAGATATCTAACTCATGTACTGCAACGTCTAATGGACATGCTGAACCAGGCTGAACTGGTCGGAGCTGCTTTACTGGAAAACCCCTTATTGCACTTGAGTTATCCTTAAAGCCAATAACTGAGTTATTTGGATTTGCCTGTAGAGTACTTTTCACGATTTGCATAAGAGTTCTACTCATAAGCTGTCCATCAATGAAAATCTTTCCAGTAAAAAACCAGTGTCTGCTGTGCTCACTGTTGGACTGGGCAATATCAAACAACTCCACATTTGTTGGATTGCGCTTAATGTCTTCTCTGAAGAGTTTGGTATAGTATTCTAAATCCTGGTCATCAAAGGCAAAACCCATCTCCAGATTAATCTCTTCTAATGCCTTCCGTCCTCTCTCCATGACAGGTATATAACGAATTTCTTCTGGTACTACACTGGTCTCAAAGGATGTTAGCATCTGAGTGTAAACACATTCGGTCATCCTATCATGCACCATAGACGCAAATTCATTGATTAGATGATCTTGCAGTTCACTTGTGGTGAACAACAAGTACCTCCTGGACCGTTCCAGACGGCTCACTTCTGTCAAACCACACGCTTGGCAAATTGCCACAGCATTAGTAGACCATGCTGTGGTAAATGACAACCTGGGGCCAACCTCAACGATAACTGGAACCAAACCCTGTTTCCTCTTCTTCTGGAGAAAGCTCTCAGTTCCCAGATTCTCAGGCTCAAAGGTTTCTTGAAGAAGCCATTTAAGAACTGAAAACTTTTCGCTTGAAAGTTGTGAACCAAGGCCAATATTATAACATTGCTCCGTCTGTATTTCCACAATCTGATTAGAGATTTTCACTTGAGCCTCCTTTAGAAGCTCAGCAGCTGCACTATCTTGCATAAACGGGACACGATACAAATGAACAACTTCTGAGGCAGACTTCTCAACCAAACCCGGTTGCTCTTCTACTGAACTGCTCACACCACCAGAAACCACAGCTTTGGGATTTTCTTGAGCCTGGCACCTTAACGGCAACGCTCCTGGAGATGATCCCAGAACCCAATTCCGATTCCTAAGCGTACCCCAAAGCATGTGACTTCTCTGTCTCTGAGGCTTCTTTTTCAGAAACAAAGTTTGCCTGGAGGTACCCTGAAACCAAAACAAACTCACGTCAAAGCATGGAACACCCGCCCAAACAACATCAACTACAATGATAATAATAATAAAAAAATTAATGAAAGGGGTGTTCATGTGATGTTAATTCAAAGAGAGGGAGTAAAATCAAACCTGCAAGAATTGAGACACCCCAAATTCCGTGACAGCCGCCATGTCCTCGATCAAGTGTTGGAAATCTCTATAGACTATAATAGAGAGGGAAAAAAAAAAAAAATTTGAGAGGGAAAACTGAAAAGCAGAATCAGAATCGAAGAAAAGCAAATCAAAAAGAGAGTGGAATGGTGAGTGTAGGGTAAAAGAAAGAAGGTTTTAGTGTAGCACAAAATAAAACCCTATTAAAACCCTATTAACCATTTCCTCTCTTTCTCTTGTAACTTGTTGGTTCTCCCGCCTCTAACACTAGATTTTCTTCATTTTTTTATGTTTATTTTGATAATAATTTATTATTAAATATATATTTATTATTTAGTTTTAAAAATAATAATCATAATAATATTTTTTGGCTCTTCACTTAACTCTATGTAGAATTGGCCCCATGGGAACTGTAAATTGCATTTTTTTTAATCCGTAAATTGCCTATGGTTTGTAAAACTTGAAATCGTTATAATATGGGTTAATATTGTTATAACTACAATTTACAATATGTAATAAATTATTAGATTTATGCATATTGTAATACAATTTTTAACCATGGATAAAAAAAAATTAAAAAATATTAAACTTCAATTTGAAAATACTGATGAAAATTATATATTAAAAATGTATAAAAATGTTTTAATTAAGGAAAAACTTCTATAAATATTATTGTTGAAGAATGACTTTTAAAAAATGTTTTTATATTTTAATTCTAATTTATATATAAATAGGATAGGAAATTTTTTTTCTATTATGTCATGCGTCTACTTCATTAATTATTTTTATCTTGATCCCTTTGCTAGTTGGGAAAGGATAGAAAATTTATATATAAATAGGATACCAAAATTCTTGTCTTGTTTCATATATTTAATGTTTGTAGGAAAATAAATTAATCATTAAATTTAAATCAATCAGGTTCAAAGCATTTTATTGGTTACAAAAATTATTTTATTAAACTGGTTGACCACGGTGGTACACATTTAGAAATAAACTATTAAAATCTAATTATTTTGAAACATTACATTAATGTAAGATTGTTTTTGTCACCTTTGTACCAAATTCAAAAGTCACGCAAACTCTGCGGATAATCACTTGTCCACTTGAGCATTCTGCGTGAGTTGTTGAATGTTTCGTGTTACTAAATTTAACATCTTTAGAAAAGAAAAAAAAATAGAAATTCACTACACATTTTGAAAGTATTAATTGAATTAGGGATTCTCAAAATAAAAAAAATAAATTTAAATAAAATATTTAATATACCAAATATAAAATAAACAAGCATAATTAAAAATAATATAATTATATAAAATATTAATTATATGAACATATTAATTATATAAATATATAATATATATTTAATAAATACATATTAATTATATAATAAACAAATATGTATATATGTATATATAACAAAATACATAATCATAAATAAATTTTTGAAGCAATAAAAACAATAAATAAATAATCTAACTGTAGTTTTGGTGTAATTCTATCCATAATTTTGACTAGTAATAATTAATTAAAGTGGAACAAATTTCCATTCTAAAATTCACGCATACGGAAGAAATGCATAAATACAAAGAGAGATTTTATTTTAAGGCCTAAATGTATACTTGTAATTTAGATGTTACTGTATTATTGTAGTATCAATAAGACAACAACCAATTTTATTAAAAGACATCTATCAATTATTTAGATATAATACTAATTACACCTTTGTTTCCCATTATAAATAAAAATAATAATTTTGTACATGTTAAAAAAGTTAGTTAATTGTATTAAATTATCATTATTATAAATATCAAAATAAGTAGTATAATTAAAACTATACATTAAAAAATATTATTAAAAAAGCAAAATAAAAGTAATTAAAATTTATTTATATTTAAAAAATATATATTTTTCCTTATTGTTGGAAACAACATTATGAAATTGTGCAGAGTTAAACAAACTTTTTTATATCACAAACAAGATATTATAGCTATCTTTGGATTGAATGAATTATCCGAAAAATATCACTTAATTATAGCAAGAAATGAAAAATTGATCATTTCTTATCGCAACCTATTGTAAAAGACTACAAGTTTTTTCCGGTTCACTGGTTGAGAAATTATTTTCTCATCTTTCGATTGGGTGAGAAGATATTTTGGGGCAGGGAAAAAACAAACTATTAATATTTGTAATATTTGTAGCTAATTTATTTATGATTGCATGCATGCAGAGAGGTGACACATTAAAATCTTTAAATTATAAGTGACTCTAAGTACCTTGTTTTTTTAGTCGGTGAAACAAGAAACAAAGGGTGATGGACACCACATATATCACATATGTTCTATCAAAATCTATCATTTCTTTTTTATCTTTTTTCTTCTTATCATGTTATATCTCATATCGTACCTATACTTAAGTTTTATCTCTTCTATCCTTTTCTTTTTCCACGTGTTAAAGCCATAACAAAGTTTAAGGCACAACCATCTCTTCATCTCATATAGTCTTAATTAAAACATTTTTTTTATTTTTATCAAAAGAATGAAAATAGAAAGAGTTGAAAACATTTTTTATTTTGTTGGTCGTGAAGAGTGTTGTTGGTTGCATGTGAACAAGTTGATAAAGATGATAATAGTGATGTATATTTCATATATATAAGAGCAACTCTAATGGAAGTTGTTTGGCTCATCAAGCAACTCTAACATGAGTTTCTTACCATTGGAGAAGGCTGAGGTGGCAGCAAGAGTTTCTTGCAGAAGAGAGAGGGTTGCTTAGTGAAGCAACGATTGCTTACTTTTGTAAACTGAAGGAGGCGCGGCGGAGGACGGCGGAGGCGCGGTTGGACGGCGGCGGCATGCGGGTGGACAGCGGAGGCGCGCTAGTGGACAGCGAAGGTGGATGTTCTGCTGCAAGTGGACAGCGGAGGCGCGTCGGTGGACAGTGGAGGTGGACGTTCTGCTGCGGGTGGACAGCGGAGGCGTGCCGGTGGACAGCAGAGGCGTGTCGGTGAACGTTCTCGCTGGACCTGCGCGCGGCGGCGGCGGCGGCAGCGGCGGTGGTAGACGGTGTTTGAAGGTGGAGTTGGAAGAAAATGAAATGGGAGAAAAAATGAAAAAACCCTTTACGAAGAGAAGAAGAAGAAAAAGAGCGTTTAAAGAAATAAGAAATAAGAATTAAAAATTAAAAAATTAAAAAATTAAAAAATTAAAAATAAATAAAAAATACCTTGAAAGTTCCGTTACTTGAAGTAGCCGTTGAAGACTTCAAGTAACCGTTGGCATTTGTTTTTTTTTTTAAAAGAAAAAAATCATTATAAATAGGCATCAACTCAATTAAAAAATTTGGACCTCTTTAACTCTCTTCTACTTCTTTTATCTTGCTTGTTTTGCTCTCAAAAATGGATCCTAACCAATACAATCATCAAAAAATTTTAAATTCTTTCCAAAACCAACCACCACCGACGAGTGCAAATTCTTAAATTCCTCCGCAATATGTTATGTATACACCATCAATTTAGATGATCTTTTGGATCAATTCATAGAAGAGGAACTACACGAAAACACCGACGAAGAATTAATCCAGTTGACGATACAAACCTATCAACAACAACTTCCCAACACCACAAGGTCAAACCAAACAAGGAGGGTAGTTCATCGAAATCGTGAGGAAGGTCATGAACGATTGTTCAATGACTATTTCTCTGAAAATCCAGTATACACAGAAACTCAGTTCCGAAGATGGTTCCGCATGCGACGACATGTGTTTCTCTGAGTTGTAGATGCCATAGGCAATCAAGATGAGTACTGTCGAATGAGGCTCGATGCAACACGTAGAAGGGGCCTATCACCATTGCAAAAGTGCACAGCTGCTCTTCGTATGTTGTCTTATGGGACACCTGCTGACTTTCTGGAGGAGTATATTAGAATTGGTGAAACCACTGCAGTGGAATGCTTACAAAGATTCGTGAAAGGAATTTGTGAAATATTTAGGGGTGAGTATCTGAGACGCCCTAATAACGAAGACATTCAACGACTACTACGGATGGGAGAGGCACGTGAGTTTCCTGGAATGCTCGGTTCAATTGACTGTATGCATTGGGAATGGAAGAATTATCCAGTTGCGTGGAAAGGTCAATTTTGTCGAGGTAATCATGCCAACCCAACAATCATTCTTGAAGTTGTTGCATCACAAGACTTGTGGATTTGGCATGCATTTTTTGGAACTGCAGGTTCGAATAATGATATTACTGTGTTAAATGCATCTAATGTATTTAACGAAGTTCTTTTAGGAATTGCTTTGACAGTGCAATACACCGTGAATAGAACCCAATATAATATGGGTTACTATCTAGCAGATGGCATATATCCAGACTTTGCTACATTTGTCAAGACCATCTCCATGCCACAGGGAGAAAAACGAAATTATTTGCCCAACGACAAGAATCAACGAGAAAGGATGTAAAACATGCATTTGGAGTGCTTCAATCTCGATTCGCAATCATACGAGGTCCGACACGTTTTTGGGATGCCGCAATAATGAAAAATATAATTTATGCATGTATCATATTGCATAACATGATTGTCGAGGACAAGTGAGACACCTATCAAAATTATATTGATTATGATGGTGTAGATGATAACATGTCAAGATCTGAAATATCTATAGGTGCTCATCCCAATTTTAGAACAACATACCTTCAAAAGAGAGCAAACGAATACACCGCCAACTTCAAGCAGATCATATTGAACATATTTGGGAACGTTTTGGAAATAATAATGATGAAAATTAATTTTGTATAATGTTTATGTATTTATTATTGCTTTATTTTATTTTTAATATCTACTTATTGTGTATTTTTCTCAGAATTTATTTTCTTTTATTGTAGTGTAATTGTCCTTTTTAATAAAAATTTTAATTTGGTTCATAAATGATTTGAAAAAAAATTCTAAAAGTTGAATTTCTTAAAGTTTCTTACCATTGGAGTAAATTTCTGTTTGAGTTGCTTAATGCTGACATGACACACTAGAGACCACTTTTTTCAGTTTCCAATGCATGAAGCAACTCAAATGAGTTGCTTCCATTGGAGATGACCTGAGTTATTTATTTTCACTAGCTTACCTTTACATATTTCCATGTGATTTGAATTGTAATGATTATACGATGTATGAGAGCAGGATAAAGATAAGTTGGTATTTGCTATGGAGGCCACCTAGATGGCAAGAGTTAGAGTAGATGATTCTATTTTATTTTGTAGACTACCTTAGTTGGATTAGCATTTTTGGTTGGTATTGTATATATTTTATAGTCTGTTAAGCCACTATTGTTGAATGGTTGTAGTTTTACTTATGTTGTTGATAGTATAATATTTAGTATATATATATATTTTCAGTCGATTTTAGTTATTTTTTTGCAATGTGACGGTCAAGATGGATCGTTACAATATTATTTCTAAATTTTCATTTAATTGAAATTCTATTAATTAGAATAATCTTTCATTATAAGTAATATCAAATTTCAACGAAGAATAATATAAAAAAATGTTTTTAATTGAAATTGATAAATTAAATGCTACGTATTAAATAAATTTTTTAATTAGCATAGAAATTAATTACTTTGTTTATATTGTGGTTGAAAAAAGTACCATTTAGCTTAATACTTTAAAAAAATTTAAAGGTTTCAAAATATATTTTTAATGAAAATTATACTAAAAAAAATAACTTACCAAGTTATCCTTCATTCACTCAATGTCTTGAAATTGCTTCATATCTACACATCAACATTGTTTCTCTTTGTAAGGAGTTGTAAGCAAAGTATCTAAAAAGTCTAACTAAACTTCACTGCTCAATGCTTTGAGAATGGCAAAATGTCTAATTTTGTTACTTGTCAGTAGTGTGTAAAAAGACTAAAAGGGACGTTCAATGGAGGAAAAAACTATTATAAAAAAAAATACTACAGATAAATAATTTTGTAATATATACTTTTGTTAAAAAAAGCACAACTATATGCTTTTCTGGTGAAAAAAAAATTGCTCTTCAATAAAAAATATAATTAATTTTTTCTTATAAAAAAATTGTGATATATTTTCATTTCTTAAAAAAGAAATTGTATATCTAAAAATAAGAAAAGACAAAAGTGTTATATTTAAATATAGGAGAGAATAAATATATTTGTATAAACTACTAGTATAGTGGTTGAGGTAGTTAAATACATGAACACCTAAATTTAATTCTCGTTACGATCATCTTTATAATTTTTCCTATCCTTGCCAAAAAAATATATTTGTATTTGTCAAGGTATATTTTTCACAATCGAAGATGATGGATGTCATTCGAACCAAGAAAATATAGATAGTAGTCTCCATCACCTATTCCATATAGTATAGGTATCCAACAAATACCACATGAATTTGTGGATATTTATTAAAATATAAAATTTAAACAAAAAGAAAGAAAGAAATAAAACTAAAAATAAATAATTTTAAAACAGATATTTATATTAAAAATAATTTCATAACATATATTTATACTAAAATTAAATATTTTAGAGTATATGTTTATACTAAAAATAAATTAAACATGGTTACTAAAAAAATACTAATAATAAATTAGATAAATTTTATATATAATTAAAAATAATTTATACCAAAGTGTGTTTCCGTAAATGGGTACCTCACTACCCTATTCACCATATTAATAAATGGATACTAATTTAACTATCTATTTCATTTTACAATGAATTTTATTCATAAATATCTGTAGTTATGATTTTTTTTCATCCTAATGATGTATTACTTGCATCATTAGGAGATAAAGGTGAACAATATATTTTAGTAAAAACTAATTTTTTAACGAAAACTAACATAAATCTAACGAAAATTAAAAGTTAAATAAAATATCATATACTCTAATTTGTCAAAAGAGAAAAGTGTTATTTACCTATGAGTAAATAAATGAAGTAAATAAAATTTAAAATATATATTAACTAAAATCATTCAATAAACTTAAATTGATATAAATTAAAATAAATAAATAAACTTAAATAAGATATTAATTGAAATAAATATTAATTAAATCAATAAAATTTAATAAAATATTAATTAAAATAAATAAATAAATAGAAGGCATCATACCATCTTATATTTACAAACCTTCGATGTAGCCTTAAATACCACCTAAATATTGTCATCCGATGCTAATGACACAAAATTTAGCTCTCAATTGAAATCGTTTACTAACTTTAATTCTTAATATATGTCTCATAGGTAATCGGTCAGCATTGTATTAAAATTGACAACCAATAATGAAAAAACATAAAATATATATCATTCATTAGAATAATGAAAATATAAGAATTTAGTGAGTATTACATAATTTATCTCATTTAATTATAATTGGGGAAGGATAATACAAGATAAAGAGCCCAAACAACTTAAACAAGCCAGCCCGGACCGCAACATAAATATGTCAGGTATTTGCAGTTCGCACCACCTAGCCTGTGGACTAACAGGCCAGCCCGCAACCTACCAAAAATATCAAATAAATTTTTTTAAGAAAACTCAAAAATCAAACTGATCATCTCTCCAACAATTTAATTATCAAATATTTTCAAGAATTAACTAAATATACCAACCGATATGATCTAAAATAAAATTTGAAACACAAAATAAAAAAAATACGAAATAGATAGTACATTATCAAATATTTTAAATACATAACTATCATTCATCTTCAATAACTATGTTTAGTTCCATCTTTTTAATGTAGTTGGTTATTTAATTTTTTTTAAAGAATAGTTAGTAAAAGCCCGTGGGCTGGCCTGCAAACCCACAAATAAAAAAATCAGGTTGAAAGTGTCCCATTCAGTCTAGGAGGCGGCTATTTTTGCTTGGAAAGTCTGTCTTTTGTTGAACTTTGATTTATTTCCTTAATAAAAAAAAAATTATTTTTATTGAACTGTGATTCATCCATCGATTCTCCACTCTGCACTACAGAAGCTTACAAAGTCAATCACAAGATATATTCAATGTCAAGCTGACAATGGAGCTCAAGCAGTTCAGATATTTGACACGTGCAACAAAGCTTAGTCCCTGTGTGCAATCATGTTGGTGCTATAAAAAAAAATACTTTTTATAGTTTTCAGCAGCTACCCAATGAAAAGCTTTTTAAGTTACAATATACTATATTTTCTTTAGTTCATATTTATTTATTTTTCTTTAGGTATAAATATTTCTATTTAAATTTTAAATTAACATAAAATTATCATGTTATATAACTATTAAAAAAAAAATACTTATACCTGTAGACACAATATATGATACAACAAAATGGAATGAGATTCAATGCAAAGTTGTCACCAAACAACTCAATGTCACAAAATGATGCCGTTTATAGAAAAGTTTATTGCAGATTGACAATTTATTTTGGTATTTTAGTACAAGCAAAGGTCGAAGGCATGAAATCAAGAACATTGTTAAAATCTGTCATCTCAATGCCTATACCTCAAGAAAGATAGCTCACTTCAACCCAAAGAGATATCTTTGCCAAAGAGATTGCTGACTCCCTTCGCAGGATCACTTTGTTTTACAATAGACTCTCCAACCAATACCTGCGGAAAAAAAAAACTAAAATAGTGAGATAGAGTATGATAAATAAGGATACAGTGCTAATGTAGTGTAGCAGGGGTGAGTTCTGAAACATCTGTTGATTGTTGGTTTACTACTTGCATTGTATGGTACAGTTGTTGGCATACACACGGGTTAATGAAATTAGACTACCACTTTACTCAAATTATGATTAAAGATGGTGTTGCAACAAATAACATGATTGCAAGGATATGATGGTATATAATGAGTAATTTGGTTGACACCACAATATTTTGTATCATAGTTTAGTATCTCCGAAATTCCTGTTAGTACCACTTTTACCAACTGCTAAAGCCGCGTCACATCTTATGAGACTGACTCGAATACAAGGGATGCAGTATAAGTGCTGTTAGGATTAGGAAGTGGAGTATTTGAATTACCATTTCCCAGGTGTTTGTATAATTAGAGTAGAAAAATGAAATTGGCAATACTTACAGCTTTAACACCTGCTTCTTGAACAAAGGCAATATCTTCAGGGGTGAACAGACCGGATTCCCCCACAATCTAAACAAAACCATATATTCATCATCAGGAGCATGTTACTGATATTCAATAAAATAATATTTCTTTCAATAAGTAGCTCTAAATAAAGGAAAAGCCACATACAGTTATGTCTCTCTCACGGATTATTTTGCCACGCTCTCCTTCAAGAAGCTTCTTTGTGATGCTGATATCCAGCTGAAATGTTTCTGCAATTCCCAAAAAGAAAAGCCACAGTTGATCTGTCAGATCCTCAAATTTAAATATTCAGACATTGGTGCAAAAGGATAAAAACAGAAAAAAATTATTAGTAATCTCAAACGTGTGTGTGCAAGATAGAAAACTAAGTAACGGGAAAAGAAAAAAAAAATAAAGTTAAACTGCACTCTTGGACCTTTTTTGCTTTGGATTATGAGTGATTTTCATCCCTTAAATTTTTTCTTTTCGGTTAATTAAGTCCATCTATCAATGTCCCTACTTCTTCTGCTTAAATTCCTTAAATTTTCATTTTCTTCTATCTAAAACTCACCGAACAAAACATTAAACCTCACCCAAAATTAAAAAAAGGAATAAGATTTTTCTCTCTTTAAATCCTAATTTCATATCCTATAAAATCCTTTAAATTTTCTTAAATTTCCATTAAACTTTTTACCTCTAAAATTTTAAAATTAATTTGTACCCTAAATCCATCACAAACCCACAAATATTTGGAAAATTGAGAATTTGAATGTTTTAGTCACGGAGAGGTCAAATTTGTTTAATTTTAAAAATCGGGGAACTTAATTGCCTTCAAAAAACTTAGAAGAACAAAATAAAGCAAAGCAAAAGTACAATAAAGCCTATAAATATATATATATATATATATGTTGCTAATCGAAGCAATAGCATAAAAAGTAAGCAGATAAAAGTAACTGTATCACTTCAAAGTCTTACGAGTTCTAAGATAGTTGTAATAAAGATAAGGTACGAATAGGATTTGACTAATTGAGAAAGTGATGATGTATCCATGTAGAAAGATAAGAAAGATGAAGAAGATTAATGAAGAAAACTGGAAAAATATACAGAAAATGAAAGCAAAAGTTTGAAGTGAAAGCACATCCAAATGGAGAGGTACTGGAAAACAAACAGATCAAACATCAAAAGGAATTGAAATACTAAGTGAAAGCCAATTTGCATAATATATTTACAATTATTCCCATTTGGAGTACAAGCAGAGAAAAGCCAGATACCATACTGCTAGGCCCATTTTGCAAGTATATTAGAGAAGAGGAAATAAAAATACTGAAGGGAGAATGGGAGAGGAAAATGGGCCCAAGGCAATGTGGGCTTGACTATGGCAGCTGAGGTGGAATTTGGAAAAGAGAAAGACTGAGTTGTAACTGAATGTACAGATGGCAAGCAAGGGGAGCTGGAAGGAGGTGCAGAAATCATGGAAAGGGGAGGAAAGTGCAATGTGGAATATAACAGAAGGTGGGGGGAGAAATAGTGATGGGAGTTAAGGGTGCTTGGATGAGCCGAGGAGTATCTCTCTCGGTGTCAAGCTTATATGGGATTTCCTATTTTCTGTCCTTGTTGTTTTCACCATTGTAAGGAGCTTAGCTCCATTCCAAACCTATTTTTCAGACTTCACTCTTATTTCTTCGCTATATTTTGAGAGAAGTTATCAAGACACTACTTCATTTCCTATTCTATTGTTCAATCTTAAAACATACTATTTCATCATAAAAGAAAAAAGTGGGAGGGGAAAGAAAGAGAGAAGAGTGATAAGAGATACCAAGATTGCGGTTGTTAATGCCAATAAGCTCAATCCCCTCTATTGCAAGAACACGATCAAATTCCCTCTCATCGTGAACCTAAGAGAAACAACATAAAATGTCAAAAAATCCTCCTGTCCATCAGGAAATAAAAGATTCCACACGGTATACCTAGAATTATGGTGGAAGCACAAATAAAGAACATAACAAACATTTATCTAGAAAAATTATATTGTCAATTTTTGAATCTTTATATAACTCACATAAGTACTGAATACAGTGCAAGTATCACAATCATCAAATCAGTCATGACAATCCAATGTTTTGATTGAAGTTAATTCGCTTTCGAGTACACCATCATTATATTAAAGAGGTTTGCAGTTTATAAAGTACACTATTGAAAAAACCCAAACCAACCCATGCCAGGACCAAGTTTGTACTAAATGGGATAAACTCATAACTTAGCTTCATGACTAAATTGCTATTAAACATCAAATATCAGTACGCTTAAAATGTTTTGTCAATGTTGAATGTCATTTAAATTTAGGAAATGAATGAAAAAGCACCAAGCTTACCTCAACAAGTGCAGTCAGTCCAAGTAATTTGCATATCTTAACCATGTATTTGATGTCGAGATCAGGCAAAACAGCAGCAATTAAAAGGACTGCATCTGCACCTTTAGTTCTAGCATAGTAGAGTTGCCATGCATCAATGATGAATTCTTTGCACAACAAAGGGCACTGCATATTTTGTCAAGAGTCATCAACACAGTCTACAAAAGGCAGTAGCCAGTAGAATATATCCAATATCAGGGACTAAGCAATTCACAAAACAAACCTTTACTCCAGCCTTTCTTATTGCTTCAAGATTTTCAAAGCTTCCCTGGACAATATTAAGGTAGAGTTTGTTATCATTTAGTTGCAATATCACCTAGTACTCGACCAACCAAATACTATATAACAGTACACACGTTGTAACAAATCCCAAGTTAGTTGGTTTACCTTAAAATACTTTCCATCCGTTAAAACACTTAGGCATGCCGCCCCCCCTTTCTCATAAGCTTGAGCAATTTCAACCTACCACAAAAACCTCTAAATTAGTGGCATATACCATGAAGAGTAGAAATAAAAAACTAACAACAGTGTCAGATAAGTTGCCTGATTGGCGTGGTACATTGAGTGATACAAAAATACTAAGAGACCGTTATAATCAACTTAATGAGAAAACATAACATTTTCCTGATACAATAACTTCAGAATGGGTCCTTATTTTGAGAAGATAACATTTTAAATCTCTAGGATTGACATCATAATTGCAATAATAGTAAAAGCAAACTGAGAGCCTATGATAGATTTGTGAAGAAGGAATTTATTTTGATGGATATGCATCTCAAAGGGGTAGAAAATTAATTAGGGAAGCAAAAAGCTTAAGATGCTAAGGAGAAGAAATTGATATGTAGCATAAAACAATTTAAGACCTATCTCTGCATTCTGCAAACATGACTCAGATCAAGCACTTATTATTCTGAAACAAGTAGAATCACGGAAGCCAAATAAAAAAGATAGAACATTGAATAGAAAAACTCCGACCAACAGGAAGCAATGGAATGCCAGCCAGTTGGAGACGGCTCAAACGTTTCCCACATTACATTAGTAACAACTTCATAAACATTGCAAATAGAGAGATAATAATACTATCCGTAAAAATGATCGAGGAAAACAAGGAAAACGTACTGGATCAAAGTCCTCTCTCAAGATACCCCTACTTGGCGATGCCTTCTTCACTTCAGCAATCAACCCTGGCAGCCCAGTTCTTTCGTTGGCTGCCTTTAGAGCACCAATAAAATCCCTAACAGGAGGTGCATTTTCGAGAGCTTTCTTCAGCACAATGAGGGGTTTTCTTTCTTTAAGCTGAAAATCAGTCACCAGTAAAACATTCAATCTGTCTGTTGAAAAACAACATTAATATGAGAAAAATTGTACAATAGAGCACAAAGCAAAAACCAATCATAATACTTGTGAGACTTCTGTGTCCTTGTTCCAAACAATCTCTTCCAAAATGTTTCTGGGTGTATTGCCCTCATTCTGCAACCTGAATTGAAAGGGTCCTACATAATGCGAAGGGGGTCCAGTTGGTGGTCTTCTCCTGATTCTTATACCCTGGCTAGCAGCAACCTCATTTTGAAACATTCCCACTTCCCACTCCTTAACTTTGAGAGCCTCTGTCACAGATTCACCCGATGTGGCTACTGCAGCTAAACCATCATTAGACTCCACCTAATCAAAACACCACAAAATCAAAAAACCCACATGACAAATCAACAAGAGTTCCTCAAAATACAAAAATCAGCACTCACACACCCCAATTGAACCCAATTTATACTCCCACACCCAACAACTATTTCCATTTTCAATGAAACCCAACTCCCAAAACAAACAAAAAGAGACCCAGATTAATCCATAAGGAGACACAATAAAAGGCTGCAAAAAGATAAAAAGTTTGAAACAAAAAAAAAAAAAAAAAACTCACCTGCGCGCGAACAGAAAAGGTTGAAAAGGGGCTTCTTTTATAAAAACTGAGTTGGGATGGAAGATTCCAATATCTGGGTGTGGAAGAGAAGAATGGAGTGGCCTGAGAGGGAGCCTTGAGAGAAGCGAAACCTTCCATTGAAGCAGATAATAACTTTTTTGAAGAAAAGGAAAAGGGAGGCAAAAAGAAAGATGAAACAGTGGTTAAGAGAACACACCGTTTATGTAATATTTAAGAGAGGGAGAAAAATGTAGTCATGTTCAACACAAGACAACACCAAGTCGCACATTCAGTTCCGATGCCAGAGCGTGTTCGTGCTTTTTCTGGTCCAAATCCAGACTACCGGTTCGGATTGGATTGCCACATTCAAGACCTACAATTACAAATGGAATAAAATTAATCCCATAATAATTACTCATATTTGGTCAAGGAATTCAGAGTAATCATATTATTATTATAAAAATTAATCCGACTATGATTATTCAAGTAGCTATTTACTTCTAGTGATTTTTTTTTCAATTATGTTTTTTTTAATATACAAGTATATTATTTATGAAGATCGAATTCATTTTAACCAATTATTTGTTGATTTTCTTAATTTTGATCGAGTATTCGGATAGACATACGCGAGATAAATATTAACAACGGTGGTTGTTGGTGTGATTGTTTTAAGTGTTTTACATTTTGTTGAATTGAGGGCATTGGATGTTAATTTCATTCTTGTAACAAAAGGTGAGTTATGTTAGACAATCTCGTCCATATACGATCACAAATAAATGGGATGTATGTAACAAAAAAAAATGTATATATGGGATGGGTTAATCATGGTTACTGCTGGTAGTAGATATGAATTCAGCATTTGTAACTAAATTAATTATTTTAAATTGTATCAATATAATTAAAAGAGGATTGTAACAAAAAAATATTCTTGTTCGAGTTTAAAATGTTGATTGTTCTCGTATCTTAAAAGAAATTAACAAAATAACTGATAGTCTTGCTAAAAGATGTATTTTATTATGAGAGAGGATTCTTGTTTATAAGTCTTTTCCTTCTTAAATTTATTTTCTTATGCTTGCAGATTTTTCTAATGTATTTCGTGAATTTCAGTTTGAGTTTATAATCCTCCTTATATATAAAAAAAAATAAAAAAAATGAGATAAGTTAAAGCTAGCCCGCAAAATAAATGAATCTATGTAATAGTTCATTCTGCATTAGGATCGGTGAGTTAACCATCAGGTAAAAACATATTAAAAAAATATTTAAAAAAAAATTATGAACATCTTATTTGAATGTTGTGTTGATTTCCATTTTTTTAATTAGAAAAATTATATAACAACTGTTAACACATTATTTTTATGTTCATGTTTCTTCCTCGTATCATTTATTATAAGAGAGATTTTTATTAATGATGTAGAAAGGAAAATATAAATGAGAGTAGTTCAAATCATTCTACAATTTCTATGTACATGCATCATTCTCTATTTATTAATAATAATAAAAATAGATATAAAAGTGATGTTGTATAATTTTTTATTGTATATGTGTCTTTACTCTTTATTTGTTAGTCTACTTCTTCTTTTTTTGTATGTCATTATTTTTGCTTTATACTTTATTTTTTGTGTGTTTTTCAAATAATTAGGTTATTTTCACAAACAATATAAAATATTATATAATCATTGATTCAATTGGAACTATATTTGATATTTTTTAGAAAAGTTTTATGTTTGAGTTTTTGTGAATAAAAAAAAAACATGGTTAAGATATAAGACTTTATTAAAGATTATTATTAACTTAATTTTTTTAAAAAAATTATCAATAAATTTGATAGATATTTTATACTAATATCATAATTATTAAAAATAAAATAAAATATGAATAAATGACCTTTCTAGTTTAGATTAATCATGATTCGAAAATGAATATATTAAATAAAATAATTAATGGTTTCTTTTTTATACAATTAATATTATTTCTTTTGTTTTTTATGTAATTAATAATTTAAAATATAATATTAAATAATTTTCATTTATAAAATGTTAGTTATGTCATGATTTATTTTTAGAATAATGATGAAAAGGATAAATACTATATATTCACTGTTTTTATAAAAATTGTTTTTGCAATAATTAGCTTGTGTTAATAATTTTTTTGATGAATTGTTAATCTATATTATTTTGCCAAATAGGCAATCCTTAAATATTAAGGATTGTGGAACTGTTCCATCGTGAAATATGAGTTAATCGCATCAAAAGTTGTAGGCGGCCATAAATTTATAGCAAGATTTAAAAAAAAAATAAAAAATAGTAACATAGTATTTTCATTACTTTACTATATTGTATACATAGTTTAAAGGTAGAGAATTGACACGTTAAAAATAGGGGAAAAATAATTTTGTTTTTTTTAGTAGAAACTTTATTTGTGTTATTTGATCTTGAGGGAATATTATTTAGCCAAGTAAATGCAGAAGGTGGTACGATTGTAACAACTCATCATGATCTTTATATCAGACGATATATTTTCTATTATATATTTATATATATGAAAATACATAATATGTTACATGCATATAAAGATAAAATAATTACATAAATATGTGCATTTTAAGTATAGTAATCTTGTAAATATAAATTATACAACTTAAGTTGCAAGTCAAACAATTGATACATTTATACAAGAACCACCCCAAATGTAGTCATATAAAAATAAATAAATTCAACTCTAATACCACTGAATGACCTCCACTGTATAACTTCATACCTATTCAAGTTCTACTCTCATACCATGTATGATCATCGTAATCCATACCACATAAAAACAAGTATGAGTAAGTTAAATATACAACACAAAACATCAATAACTTTAGTATATCATCACATTTTCATTTCATATCCAATATTATCAACATGCATCATCACAATACAACCAATATATATTAGAATATATAATTTGGTCTATTACAACATCGTATCAACTTGAACATCGTAATATTAACAACTCAAATTGTTTATCACAACAACATAATATATTTGCAACACAACAACTATTATGATAACAACATAATATTAACAACTCAAATTGTCTCCAATTGGCTCATGCCTAATGTCACCATATTGATGTCTAAAGTCATATAGACAAGGAGCCATGGTTTGCCCATACTGGGTGCCTATCAACCTTGGGTCTAACGTCACCAAGTCAGAGACCTCTCAATGTTCTCATGTTCGACACCATTCGAACCAGGTTCAACATCATTTCAATTTGAGATGAGTCTCTCTCCTCATGCTCGACACCATTGATCCTACGTTCGACATGATTGAGACAGAGAGCCTTATTTGGAATGACGTCCAACGCCATAAAGGCACGTCCAATGCAATATGAAATTTTTTCATATGCAAAACCTGATTTTGACCTTAAACCTAAAATCCAATGAAAATCCAACACATCCAATAAGAAATAATGATCATACTCAACACAAGCAACTAAAATCTAACTCAAAAAGCAACATGCAACAACAATCCATAGCCATCCATCCTACTCTTCATCATGAACTCAAAACCCAACTTCCACTATACTTTTTTGTTTTGGATTCACCAACACAGTCATAACTCTTAAAAATTTCACATTGAGTACAACACATAAATCATTCCTTAACTGGTAACTCATCCAAAATGTGATAGTTTCAGGTTCCCTTACCTTAGAACCGTCAAGAAAAAAGAAGAAGAAAACTTTAAATGACTTGCAACACAATTCCGAACGGATCTACAACTCAATTAAAGGTTCCTAGGTACCTGAATTTACCAACAAGAACACATAATGAGAATCATAGAACGAAGTGAAAGGGATTTAGAGAAAAGATAAGCTCACAAACCATAATCTTTCTTTCTTTAGACTCTTGAGAGAAAAAAAATTATGAGACAATATTCAAAACAAATGTCTTATATACTATTTCTCTTGGGGTTAAATTGACTCTGTGCTCAAAGAAACCTCAACATTATTGAAACTCCAAAGGGATTTCCAAATCCTAAAGTATCTCAACATTGAACAACAACCCAAGTTAACAATATAAAATAATTTAAAATAATCATAACACTCTACAACTTATAGTGCTAAAAAAACTAGTTAAAGTTTTTTTTTTATATATATATTTTTTATTTCTATTAGCTAGAACCTAAGATAAAATCCGAACCGGTCTATATAGGTCTTGCATGGAGTCATATCTTTTCCTAATATATACTCATTAATTATCCAAAACAAATTATTTAGACTAACCAATATAAAATAAATTAAGAAATGAAAATTATCATTCCATATATATAAAAATTAAAATATTTTTTTATTTGGTAAACAATTCACTTTTCTTACACTTTCTCACATTAATTTTTATTTAAATATTATTCTATCATGAGAAAGTAAATTTCACTATCCTAATATACAAATGTCTCTACTCATTACAAAAAAGTTTATATATATATATATAATATCTTATTTTTTTTATCGAATAATTTATTTTGTACTAAGTAGTAACTTAATTTTAAAATAAAATGTATATTTTATTATCAAAATTTAAATATTATTCCTTTGCACCATTGTTATGTTTACTTTAATTTTGTTTAGCCTCTTATCTATTTAAGCGTATCATTTTCATATTTTTAACTTCTTATCTCTTAAATATATCATTTTCATTTTTATTTTAATAATTTTAAAGATATCAATAATATAAAATAATTTTATATCATAATATAAACAATTTATTATAAATTTAAAATATAATTTATATATTCAAACTAATTATTTATTTAAATTTTAATTATAATAAAATATATAATAAAAAAAATTATTTATTATACATCTTGTTATATAAAATTACTAGTTGTATATATGATGTTAAATTCACTATTAACATTCAAATAACAATCGTAGTTCAGACTGCGAGTTTATTTGCGACTGAAATAAATTTAATTATCATGTATATAAATTAAAATATTTTTTTAATGAAAGTATTTTTATTTTCTAGGGAGATTTTTTAATAAAAGTGTTTTTGTTATAAAACTTAATTATTATATTATTTATATATTTAAAAATTTATTTATTTTAAAATTTTATTATGTAAAATAAATATTTATTTTATGCATTATGCATACTTAATACTATTAAGTAAACTGATTAAAAATCGACATATTTTTTAAAAGTCATGTATATGAAAAAATAATTGTATGAAAAAATAATTGTATCTATTCAAATGATTTAGTACCTTAATAAATTAAATTTTAACTTTTGATCAAAAGATAATGCTGTTTATCATAAAGTAATTTTTATTTGGTAGATAATATGAAAGTTATAAATTAAACTCGATAAAAAAAACATAAAAATTATTTTGTTATTTGTCGAGAAAAGAGAGTTGTCATACAGTCTGTCATGGATCTATTAGTTGGGCCTTGGATGTTGCCTGGTTTCAACATGCTATGATGAGAAACTGCTTAGAAAAGAAAACTGCGAAAGGATCATGCTTTTTTTTTTTTTGTTCAAACATTATATCCAGAAACTTTAAGCAAGACTACGAAACTTTCTATCTGTATAACAATAAAATATTGGTAGCGTTTTTGGTTCTCAATTTCTTTTTTCAATTCACTTTCCAGAGACATTTTGTTATTCTATTTTTTAAAGTATAAAATTTTAATTTTTCTATTAATTTGATATTTATTAATTATTAAATATTAATATTATTTAATAATTTGTCACTATTAAAATAATATTATATTTAGTAACATGACATATGAGAGTAAAAATTAAAAAAAAAGCATACAAAAGATCTTTATTTATTCTATTGTAACAAGTGGTTTATATTTATTTTATTAATAAATCTCATTTATATTTTTATAGTTTTCTTTATTTATAAATGCCATGTAATTAAGTGTTATATCACCTAATTACGAGAGAACAGTAAAATTTAATGAAAAATGTCAATTTCATAAGAAGAACAAAATTTCGTATTTTTATAAATAGGAGAGTAAATGTTTTTAATTTAAAATAAAAAAACTAAAATTGAAAATTAACAAAAACAAAATGACTAAAGTATAATTTAACCTATAATATTTAAGATAAAATTACATAATGTTTGTTTAGCCACACACACATACACATATATATATATATTAACTAGTGAGTTGACTTAATTATAAAAATTCCTGGCGAAAGTTGACTTTCGTGGAACCTGTCTCAAGTCTCCTGATTAAGATATTGATATCATCACAAGGTTCATATATTTTTTAGCACAAAAATGTACTCATTATTGAGTTGACTGTGAAAATCCCTCCAACGCTATCTCGCATAACTAACATATTTATTCATCAACCAGTCAATATTATGAATGTCATAAGTGAGCTGCATATATAACAATTTTGTTAGTGAATGTTCAATAATTAATTAAAAATCATTATATATACAAAGTTAATGTTTCATACTGTGATATTCTGTTATATCTAGTTCTTCACACTCTCTGGATTATGGTCCTAACTATCATAGGTAATTAAAGCCTTGTTCCTCTTAGTTAAGGCCACAAAGTTGTGAAACCATTGCTTATGTTGTCCATAAGAATGCCCCATCTTCATCTCAATGTAAATGTGCTTTAGCTCACCTTTGGTTTGAATAGCAGTTAGGTCTTTCAATGTGGTAGATTGCCTAACCCTTTTCTTGGTAAGTTGAGCACTCTATTATATATATTAAAAAAAAACTATTTGTACCAAAGCATTTATTTTATTAAATATTTAATAATTTTTATATGAATTAAGAATATTATTATATTCAATTCAATACCAAACACAACTTGGTATACACATGGAATTGTTGAAGTAATAATAGTTAATTATTTTTTATTTCACACTAATATCTTAATATTTCGTCTTAAACTAATTTGATTCGATCAAAAAATAAATAAAGTCCAACTCTCATTTTCACCAAAGATTAAATTCAAATATTATTCAACCCTTAATTCAATATATTAATCACTTGGGTCCATCTCCATGATTAATAATAATTATTTGTTGAGAAAGTGCAAATAATGAATACAAACCGTTGGACCATATATATGAATGATTAAGATTAAAAAATAAATATACTTAATAATATCTTCAATTTTAATCATTTATATAATTACATTGTCTAAATATCTCATATTCTTAAATTGAGAATTATTCTCTGTCCCCTATAATTAAAAATTCTTTTTATGTATAATAAGTAGCAAACACAAAACAAGACCCGAAGTATAGTTATCAAATACTACTAGTGGCACTGGCACCAGTGCCACTTATAAACGAAGTTTAGTTATCATTTAAACTACAAGGATAAGGAAGACTAGCTTCGTTGAAAAAATTTAGTAAATCACCATTTTAATCTGAAAGTACATGGCTGACACGTTAAACTTTTTTTTAAAAATAATTCCATGAAAATGCAATCCATTAATCACGTTAATCCAAAACTAAAAAAAAATCCGTGAAAAGTAATAACGTTAACTTATATTTAGGAATTAAAATGAAAATAAATAGTTGGCATGGATTGAATGATTGATCATAAAAATAGCTAGAAAGTTAAAGTTAACATGAATAGAAACAAGAGTGCAGTTTCACAATCCATTTTTCCTCCTTTTCCTAAATCAAAACAATGTGTCAAGGTCTAAACAAAGGGTAAATAAAATTTTACACCTAAAATAAGTAAAGCATCCGGAGATAAGGAAAAACAAAAAATGAAAAACAGCAGAACTAAGATTAAGGGCATTGAATGATCTATTAAAGTGGGAACTCCTTCTGCCTCCTATTTTGCTTCACAACATGAATTCTGAGACGATTGCAGTTCCCTTCATCCTGGGGAGAAATGCAAGGTTTATTTAGCTCATTCATTTTTCATTTGTGCTCAAGACACAATTTCATAAATAACTAATGAATAAAAACAATAATAAATTCATAACAAGATCCAGACCATCTATAGAAGTTTTTCAAAGAATGCAGAAATTCCACACAAGTGTCCAAGACAAAAGATGATTAGTAAATACTCATTATAGAAAGAGGTAGTCATTACAGAGGGGATAGAAATGCATAATCTCTTAAACATGTACCAACAATAGAGTAATTCCTCCCTGACATGTTCAAAAATATGAAATCATAGCACCTTATTGTCATATACGTTTATTTGAAAATACTGCAGCAGAATAAACCTTAACAAAACCATTTTACAATGCAATGAATTAACTTATTGGCTTCTCAAACAAAACTCTACATTTTGCATCAAAAGCCATACCATTCAAAATAGAAAAATCAACATAGGACATAACAGAGTCAAATAAGAGAAAGTCATCTGCCAATTAAGACTGAGAATTAACAAGCAAGGAAAAACCTAACGAAGTTATACACCCTAAAAACCAATAAGTTCACTGCTAAACTCGCATGGGATAAACATTGTGTTCTGAATTTTGATTTCTAGAAAGAAGTAAAGCTGAGAATCTACCATACTTTACAGAACAATGATCTGATAAGGTCAAAAACAGCACACAAAATTAAAGCTGATCTTAATTTGTACAAACTTTCTTTTCTGTTGTTAATTAAGCAAGAATCTCAACCACTCCAATCCATCACACCTGCTTGACACACCATAAAATGTAACCAAACATAGCACCATTATTTATTTATTTATTTTCAATCACTTTAAAACCCTCGCACTATTATAAAATATCCAAACAAGAGAATGGCATTTTCCTCTGTTCTTCATTAATCCATTTCGCTTCGCTCATTCCACACCGTTCACACATCATTAGATATGCAATCGAAGCCACATTCACTTTAAGCCGTCATATAAAAATGATAACTTTACATGCAATCACGAGAAAATAACACCAACAACTGAGACAATACTTCACAACCAATCAACAAAATAAGCCATTTAATTTTTTCAAAAAAAATCAGATCCAAATCTGTGACTATAGCAAATAAAAAACAGAGAGATCCAAGAAACTAAAAAGAGGAATATAGCAAACAATTTCAAAATTTTTTAAAAAAATGTGTGAAGTAATATAATTTACCTAACCAGATCCGACGATGATGTTGTTAATTGGAATAAAAATGAGCTTCACAAAAAAACCGACGAATCCCATCACGACGAAACCAATTGCGGTACGCACGGCAACCTTGGAGAATTCTAAAATACAAAATGCATCAGAAAAATCAGTACCCACAACAACGAGATTCGTTTCGAATAAGAAGAATTGGGATTAGGGTTTCACCTTTGCGGTCGGGTTTGTGGCAGCGCTTGACGAGCCTGACGCTGTCCTTTGCGAATTCTCTGAGGGGATCGAACACAGAATCGATGGCGTCCATTCTCTCTCTCTCTCTCTTTCTGTAACTCCCGAGTTTGGATGTGAAAATCGGAATAGGTGTTGATTTCTTGTTGAAAGCATTTTACTTTATATGCACCAAATTGTTATCTAATTAAAATGGTGATTTTTATAATTAATTCTTTTAAAAATTATATAAAATAGTTTATGATTTTTATTGATTAAGATTATATTTTTTTAAAATTTTATTTAATGATATGGATACAATAAGATAAGATAAATAATATACTAATATATATAAAAAAAAATATTTCTTTTAGTAATTAACTTGATCTCCATATTTTATTCAGTATTATATATTTTTATTATTAAAAAATTTTAAAAATATTTTTATTAAATTCAAGACCTTAAAATTAATGAACTAGGTATAACACTAATTAGATTGACATACTTTTATTACTTGATTTTAATTTTATCTTTAGTAAATACATGAAGTGTCTCAATCTCACTAATAAGAATAATATAATAAGTTTTTATGAAATATATTATGCTATTTTGTATATATGTAAATTATTATAAAATATTTTTTTGTTTCTTTTTTAATTATCACTTTTTTTGGACAAAAAATATTTTTATTTATTAGTCACTTCTTATCTAGTCAAGAAAGTTTTTTTTATTATCTTTTAGGTATTGAATAAGTGGAGTTATGTGTGTCAGTTTAAAATAATATTTTTTTAAAGATATTTGTGATTCATGAGATTTGTTAGACTTTTTCTAACGAAAAATATGTTTTCCTTCTTTTTTGTTAGTGTAGGTATTAAGGAAGTTATTTTGCTTCGATATGTTAAAATGATAAATGATTTAGTTATCATACATCAAAAGTGATATGAATATAGAATAAATGTTGTTGTAGATAAAGTTTTTCATATGTTAAACACTTATGTCAAGATAATAAATTGTCTTAGTGCGTATGTCTCACTAAACCCTAAATCATAAATCCAACAAGAATTTTTGTCTCAAAAAATTGGCTTACTTAGGAATAGGAATGAATGTTGATCTCTACACTACCCCTTAACCTCTCAAGTAACGTCACTAATATATGTATCCCATAATTCCACCCGCCTTGCAACTCCTTAAGTTTGTGATCATACATAACAACTACTCTCTTCTTATATGGCAGGGTATCTCTGTCCCAAACCTCATCCATCTTCACCATACAACTCGGGTTGTCATGGAACACATCATGTAGGTTGGACAAAAAGGGTGGCAATGCCAACTGAAAAGGATATGATAAGCATCAATAAATCTCAACGTCAACTTCTTGGACCTTATCATCTTCAATAGTTATTATCACCTTTAGAAACACACGCTTTCCAACAAATTCTAGAGACTTCCTTCTTTTATTAGCATAAGACTGTTGCCTACCATAGGCATTCCTCATCCTTTCATGAATCAATTTTACCTTTTCAATAGTTTGTAGTACTAACTCTGGTTTTACAATTACTGAATCACCTTCCTGATACTAACATAGTGGATTCCTACACCTCCTACCATACAAAGCCTCAAAAGGCGTTATTCCAATATTGGCATGAAAACTGTTATCATAGGTAAACTCCACTAATGGTAGAACCTCTTCCCAACTACTCAAATGATCTAACACACAAGCCCATAACAAGTCCTCCAAAGATTGGATTGTCCTCTTTGACTGACCATCAATTTGAGGATTATATATAGAACTCAACCTTAACCTTGTCTCCAAAGACTTGGTGTAGACTTTGTTAGAATTTGGAAGTGAACCTTAGATTTATGTTAGAAATAATACTAGAAGACACCCTATACAACCCTACTATTTCTCTGATGTACAATTGAGTTAACTTCTACAACTAAGCACACTTGGTCAATCTATCAATAATCATCTAGATAACATCATTGTTCACAGCTAACCTAAGTAACCCAATTATAAAATCTATAGTGATGTTATCCTACTTCCTCTTTGGAATCTTCATCATCCGAAACAAACCTCCCAACTTTTGATTCTCCACCTTGGTTTTCTAATAAGTTAGACAAGTCGTCACATACTCCGCCACATCCTTCTTAATATTAGACCACCAAAAAGTTTTCTTGAGATTTTGGTATATCTTAGTCATACTAGGATATATGATAATTTGACTCTTATGACCTTCCTCTGAAATTGTTCTCCTAAAATCAAAATCTCAAGGTAGGCAAATTTTGCCCTTGAACCTCAAAATTTCATCTCCTCTCAACTCAAAACAATTGCCCTTTCTATGCTAAATAATTCAAAAATCTTCAATAATTCAGGGTTTTGCAACTTTTCACTCCCACCTACTTCAAGAATTCACTAACTATAGTAGTAATTTGATGACTAATGTGATCTTGGACCAACTCCACATAGAGATTCATATATCTAAATTTCTCCACTAACTCCAGCTCCTCTACCATCAATGCATACATGCGAATGTATTTCCTACACAAAGCATCTGTCACCATATTGGCCTTTATAGGATGATACATCAACTAAAAGTCATAATACTTCAGAAACTCCAGTCACCTCCTATGTGTCATGTTAAACTCTTTCTAATCAAACAAGTATTTCAAATTCTTATGACCATTGAAGAAGTTGAATTTCACATCATACAGATAGTGCCTCCATATCTTTAAGCAAACACCATTGCCACCAACTCTAAATCATGAGTGAGATAATTCCTTTCATGTATCATCAACTGCCTTGAAGCATATGCTACTACTCTTATGTTCTACATCAAGACATAAGCTGGCCCTTGGTGAGAAGCATAACAGTACACCTCAAATGACTCACCAGGATCAGGTAATACCAATATAGGAGAAGTAGTCAACATTCTTTTCAACTCTAAAAAACTCTCCTCAGAGGCATCTATCCAAATGAAAGGCTACTCCTTCATAGTTAGTTGGGTTAAAGGCATTACTATATTGGAGAATCCCTCTATGATTCTCCTATAGCATAAAACTACCTCCCCCTCAACACCTCCAATACCAATCTCAAGTGTTTTTTGTGCTCCTTTAGTGTTATTGAATAGATAAGGATGCCATCTATAAACACCACCATAAATCCATTCAAAAACGATATGAAGATTTTGTTCATTAATCCATGAATATTGTTAGGGCATTAGTCACACCAAAAGACATCACCACATACTCATAGTGGTTATACCTAATCTTGAAAGCAATCTTTGATATGTCACCCTTATTCACCCTTATTTAGTGATACCTAAACCTCAAGTTTATATTGGAAAATATTGATGTTCTTTTAAGCTGATCTATCAAGTCATCTATCATAAGAAGTGGTATTTGTTCTTGATGGTTAATTTGTTCATCTGTTTGTAATCTACAGACAATTGAGCTTCTCCATCTTTCTTATTTACCAACAAAACAAAAGTACTCCAGGAGACACACTCAACTTCACCATCTATTTTTCTAACATATCTTCCATTTTTTTTTCAACTTAACCAACTCAACCAGAGTCATCCTTTATAAGTAGATATTGAAACTAGCCCCACACTTGGAACTAACTCAATACTAAATTCAATTTTCCTAGTAAGAGGCAACTCAAGCACCTCATCCAAAAACACCTCCAAGAAATCCCTAACCACTTTAGTTCCATTGATCAACTTGTTAGCCTCAACACCTAAAGCAACAAACAACAAAAAACACTAAGCTATATCCCTCAATAGCTCATTTGCCTGCTTGGTTGAGACTAACACCCCATCCTCAATATGAGAGAACACCAACTCACTCCTGGCACAATTAATAACAATGTGATTGGTCGATAACTAATTCATTCGTGATATTATGTCAATCTCCACCATAGACAAATTGATTAAATTCACCTTCTATTTCATACCAAACACCTCCACTGGGCATCTCACGCATATATAAGATGTACTAAAAAACATAAAAGCAAGAGTATAAATAGTCAAATCTACAAGCAGTGTATTCATAATCTACCCCAACCTCTTTACACAATCATAGGAAATAAATGAATGGGTAGCTTCAGAGTCAAACAATATAAGAAAATCGTTACTAATAATTTTCACCTTCCCCTTCACCAAATTTATGGAAGTGGAAGCTGCCACTCCTGATAAGGCAAACACCCTACCAATTATAGTAGGTCTCTTTACTATTTGAACATTTATGGGCTCTTTAGCCTCTATTCATAGTCTTTGGAGATGACCTGATTGACCACATCTAAAGCACTTATTGTCCACCTAAGGGCAATCTTTGATGAAATGTGTTCTTCCAAATCTATAACAACTAATGCTCGAAGCTCCACCTTGAACTCCCTTATGAGGAGTAGATTGAGGTCTCCGCACAATAGAATCACAAGATTTCCTCTATTGTCCCTTTCTCTTAGACCTAGGTGATCCCTCCTGACTCTTGTAGCCTTGGTTGCCTTGCCACCACTGTTACTCTCCAATCTATACATTGTCTTCACCAACTTAACTAAGGCTTTGAAACTTTGTGATGGTCATAGGCACTACCACCTTTTTCAACTCATGCCACTACCCAAAATCTCAAAAAACATAGATTTCACTCCAAATTCATCAACATACCCATGAATTTAGATGAAATACAACAACATACAATGTCAACAATTAACAAAGATTTAGTTCTACCTTCTCTTACACTAGTACAAAAATGACTTTTAAAATCGGGGTTTTAAAATCGGTCATCAGGTAGCCGATTTTAAAAGTGATGCGGTGACAATTTTGTAAATAATGGCATTACTTTTAAAATCGGCTACATTATGACCGATTTTAAAAGTCTCTGACGCTACTTTTAAAATCGGCTCTCGAACAACTAATTTTAAAAGTAGTATCAGAGAATTAATTACACTATCTCTGCTCCCATTGCTCCATTCTCTACTATTTTGCTTCAATATCATATATTCTTCCTCTTTACTCTCTGGGACTCTCATCTGAAGTGTGCAGCTTCTCATTTTCTGGGACGAATACAACATTGAGGTAACATTCTCGTGTCATGCGTCTTATTTCCTTGTTTCTGGGTGAACTTTGAGTCTGGAACGGCCCAAGAACGGCCTGTACTGCTTGTA